AATAATGTAGAAAATATAATATTATAATATAAAAAATAAAGTAGCCATCCTTATGATCCATTACAAATTTAGTAAATAGATAATAGATTTCTGAGTTCATCCAGATAAATTTTTACTAGATTCAGTAATGATCTATTCAAATGATGTAAATCCATCGTTTCCTTAAAAATTCGTCCCTGCCCCGATCGAACACGGCTGTCCATTACACACTAATGCTTTTGTGTCCCCGTGTTAAACATTTATAAAGTGAAATATTTTTTATTCACGTTTGATGATCTACACAAAACAGTAATTTAATTCGTGTCCGCGCCGCTGCATGTGGCGTTTACAAAAAAAAATTAAATAAAAAAATAAAAAACAAAAATAAAAATGAAAAAAAAAATACGATAAAGAAACGTCAAGCAGAAGAACTAACGATACACCAACGGTGTCTCTACAAACTGCATATAAAACAGCTTGACCTGAGATTCTTTCAAAATATTTATACACGGAATAAAAGATAAGTTGGAAACTTTGTTTTGGTTTGATGGGTTTCTGTTAATAGCCGTGGAAGAGAAATTTTTCGTGATTTTGTAATTATTTAAATTAAACGAGATATTTCAGTTTTAAAAATAGACTTGGATAATTGACTATTGAATACGTCTAATATTATTTGGAACCAATACAAATGAACTTGTATTGAAATAAAATTTGAAAACACTAGAGAGTAGTAGAAATTTATTGAATCATTATTTGGAGTTAGTTAATGGAGTTATTTAATAAAACAAGCATCTTAGCATACCTTAGAAAAAATAAATGTATGTATGTGTGTGTGTGCGTGTTTGTGCATGTATGTGCGGATACAATTTTTCGTCAACGATTTTGAGAACACGGATTAACCGTCTTGAAAAGTAAAAAAACATTCAGATTTTATTGGTAAGGAGACGTGCTGATTAGTTTTTGGCAGGTCCAATCGTTTCCAAGATATGGGGCAGAAATTTTTTTAGAGAGGCAGGTCTACCGGTATCGAAGATCCAATGAAACACGTAAAAAAAATTCGAAAATTCAAATTAAAAATGTTAAATTCTTCCAATTTAATCTAATTTTTGCTACGGGAAGTTCCAGTAATTTACCTTAAGGCACGATGCCAAGCACCACTAGTTGACTACATCTTTTATTCACAGATTTGTAAATTTTTTGAATAATTAAGTTTTTTCGAATAATCTCTAGAAATATTTCTATATAGATATATCATTCCAGTATTTACTGGCATTTATATTAAAAATTATTTGCTAATTTGGTTTTTAACGTTACAGAACTTATATTTATTTTAATGATTTGATAAAATTTATAAAAGTAGAAATGAAATTTCTAAAACTACTTTTAATATTGTGATTTGAAGATATTCTTAAATTATGCAGAAAAGGATAAGAAAATTTTTATACTCAATTCTAAATAATAATAAACATAATCTCATAAATAATAATAATTTTCCCTATATGTATGTGTTCAGTTGAGGAGACAACAAAAACAAAAACATAAAACACATTGTCATATGAAAAATGCTCAAATTATACAAGTTTAACGCCACACGATACAGATTGTATTGTTTATATAAAGTATTACATAATTGGCATATTTCTTAAAAAAAATGAAAAATAATAACCATATAATTCGCATTATTATTTAGTGAGTATAAATATCTATTTTTTGCATTATCCAGAATCTTGAAAATGAAGAAGATCTCTATATTAAAGCTTTATTATTTTTGTGTCCTAATTTTTCTTAAATATTATTGTAAATATAAGTTCTTAGAACTTGTATAAAATCTATTCATAAATAGGTAACATAGCAACTTTATGGTAATTTTGCATTAGCTAATACATATGTTTACTGTTCCATTTTCGTCTCGTCTATATACTAGCACAAACAATGGATAGCAAAAATTGGGGCTCTCATATTGAACCAAAATAGCCTTCAGAGGTAATAAATCTTCTGTTTTGTCCATTATCTCATGTCGAGTTTCTCTCTGTTCGAGCAAATGAATTTAAATCGGTTCTTAATTCGAAACCTGTCGAGACTGGCGTTCATCCAAACCGCGCGAGTCCGAGATAAAAATCTTTCCTATTCTGGACAGATGTGGTCAAATTTTTCATTAGGTAAAAATAATTTGTTTACTTAATAGAAAGTTTGATAGATAATAATATTAAAAAATTATTAAAGCTAGAAGCAGTACTCATAATTCAAAAATGGATATTCATCAAAATGAGGTACTAACAAGGGGAACCTTAGTTTACTCTTCTGGGATTTGATGAAACTTCTCATGGTGATAGGGTTTAGTCAAACCGAGAGTTTAAAATATTACAGGCCTATTGAGAAGTGCTTTAATTAATACGACCAGTCTCTATGCCAGTCACAAAAAGACTCAAAAAATATTGGCCAATGGACCTGTCTTAGCTTCATTGGAAAATCGTTTACTGACTGATATTGTAGTGAATTGTATTTCAAATAATATTGACCTATGGGCCTTCATTGGAAAATCATTTACTGACTGCAATTGTAGCGAATTGTAGTACTTGTAGTGAATTGTAGACATCATTTTCAAAATATTCATTTTACTATCAGAATTTTCTCATCAAATGTTTAAAAACTAAGTTTGTGCTAAATAAGTTTCTTTTCTAATTACTCGCATCTTCCAATGCATCAAACTAATAGCTCATTGTTCTGCAATAGTGAATATTTCCTGTCCATGACAATTCTTGTCACATTTAATGAATATTTATACCCTGTATCGATTGATCGGATATGAGATAAAAATTGTCGTCTGATCCAAAAATGCATTTATAGATATCTATAAAATAAAATTGGTATTTGAAATTCATTTAATTATAAGCAAATCGTCTCATTGTTTGGAGATGATAGGGAATTCCCACATTGGTAAAAACGACTACAAACACGCAAAAATTAGAATTTTTGAATTTTGTGGACCACATGGTGTACACAAAAATCAATGTATTATACAAGTTTTTGTATAAGTCTATATATTCTTTAAGGTGTGATAACGAATGTGGCAGTCGAAATAAATCATAACATATTAGTCCATTAGGTAACTCAGATATTTTGCAAACCATAATCTAATTTATTCTAATACACAATATTTTGACTTGTTTATGATTACCATGTTTGATTTCTATTTATTAACACTGTAATATACAGAGACTTTGCACAAATAGAGATTAATGGCGAAATAAATTTAAATACAAAATATTTGAAAGTGTGGACGATATTTTAGTCACTAATTTAGAATATATTTCTGGACATAATTTTAATATATTGATATTTATAATTCAGGATCTGAGGCAAGAGGTATTTGGTTTGGAATCAAGTAGAAGTCTGAAGGTATTTTAGTGAAAATTTGAGGCATTTTGATATTAATTGTATGCTGCAATTAGGTATGTCAAATATTATAATTTATTATATAATTATATATATATATATATATATAAATGTTTGCTCTAATATTTAATCTAATCAAACTCTACAATGTATGTAAAAATTCTAATCAGTTGTTCTGGCACTTTTCCTTTATGAATTTATTCGGTACTTAAATCCTTTCTACATTTTGTTGACCATTTTATTTATTTTAATTATTAATTGTTACAAAAAATTATTATATTACATATGAATGATTTATACCCAGTATTAAAATTTCACTAATTCGATTTCCCATGAACGGCGACGTCCGTTAAAATCAATTACATCAAAGAATTTGCAAACGACAAAATGCCGAACAATTTCAGAAGATTTAGACTTTGAACAGAAATAATAAACGGGATGTTTTGGAAAGTGTTCGCACAGATGTTTTGAATATTGTAATTGAAATAATTGAGCAACCGCATAAGAGTTAAATGGGCTTTATGAACAAATTCTTTGGCATTCAGAGAACGTGGACAAGCAATCCTTAGTTTACGGTTTGATCCTAACTTTGGCCTGCTTGGTATCAAGTAGAATCGTATCAGATTTTCATTAAAGCTCTAGTTCTTAAATTTATTTTCAATTGAAATCATATTTAAATACTTTCATTGATTGAGAACGAGCTGTCCTAGACCAGCAATAGAACCTGGGACTTTTTGGTTGCAAGATCAAAGCCTTTACACAGGTCACAGACAAACTTGTACATTAAATGTATTAAATGGACTATCGTCCTTGGTTTTTTCATGAGATGAAGAGTGTGGAAAATGTGCATGTTGAAATGGGTGAAAAACCATGGACTATACTCTTTGGTTTTTTCACGAGATTGAAGTGAGTAAAAAAATGTGCGCTCCACGTAGTTTGAATAGTAAAATATTAAAATTATAGTGTATAAATTATCTTTATACCTAACAAAATATTATAGATTACTTCAAATTCACATATAATTCAATTGTGCGTGAATTGAAGTATCTATGAGAGTTTGTTTACCATTCATCTGATGTCAACTGCCCAGGATCAATCCAAAGCCTATGTAAGAATCAATATTGCATGTGCATGTTTTTCATTGTGGTTTTATATTATTGTGTAAGTAAAATGTGTTTTTTGAGCCAGAAATTGGTGTTTTTATGTATTTTTGGCTTGATTTGCACGGTTGATTTACAAAAAAGCATGTCGCCGTTTACAGCATGCACTACATCTGGTCAACATCAACAAACAGGTAAGACAGTTCGCTTGCCTTTAATTAAATCTAATTAAAATTACTTATATAAATAATAATCATAGTATTTATACATGTATCTGACATTGCTGAAAGTAACATATTTTAATCCATATAAATAATAATCATAGTATTTATACATTTATCGGCACTGTTGAAAGTAGAATATTTTAATCCATGCCTGGCATGAGGTAGGTACTAACTCGTCGCGATAGAAAGCGAT